TTTTTTCTTTTTATTGATAATGACAATTGAACTAAGAGCCATGGTATTGACGAGTTTTGTATCCATAGCGAGTTTTATGCGCTTTTGCAGTTAGCATGTTGGGTCGACTGTGAATTTGTTTAAAAACTTGATCCAACCCGATCAAAGCGGCCTGAACACGGTGTTGACAAGTTTTGGATCGAGAGCGAGATTTGTTTGTTTAATGTCATTTTATTTTTCTGTTTCCTTTTTGTTGAGAATGACAATTGATGCAAGATTTGGTGGTAACGAGTTTTGTATCAAGCGCGAATTTTATCTGTTTTTAGAATTGGCATGTTAAGCCGACTGTGAATTATTAGAAAATCGCTTCAAACTAGTGAAGGCTAGTGAACTTGGTGAGTTGAGTTTTTGGTTGGGAACGAGTTTATCCACTTAAGTGTTTTTATTTATCTTTTTTCCTTTTGGTTGAGAATCCAAACCTATTGGTATCCAACCTAATTTAACTTGATTAAAATGACTTAAACCCGATGTTTACATAGGGGTGGGCATCCGGTTCGGTAAAACCGAACCGAACCAAACCGAATAAAACCGAACCGAAACTGAATTAATGTTATTCGGTTCGGAATTCGGAAGAGAAAAGGGCATATTTCGGAATCAGGGTCCTTTCGACCGAACCGAATTTCCGAATTCCGAACCGAAAAACCGAATTATTATAATTGCAAGCTCTAAATGGTGGATTTTTATGTTTCTACTTATTATGAGACTTAAATATTTGAATCATGTTAGTGTTTTATGACTTATGTGTTGAAATGTTTGATTTTATCATTAATGATGCATATTTATTGTTTACATTAGGGGTGAAAAATAATTTAAAAAAGAGAAGATACAAGCTAACCTCACTATTTCGGTTTTGAGGTTTGATAGAATTCGGGGACCCGGTATGCATAATTTCGGTTCAGTTTGAACCGAACCGACCGAATGCCCACCCCTATGTTTACAAGCTTTCATGAAGCAGTGAGTTTTATTCGCTTTTGTAATTGACGGGTTGACCCGGTTGTGAATTTGTTACAAACTTGGCTCAACCTGATCAAAGAGAGTTGAACCTTATGTTGCCGAGTTTTTGGTCATGAGCGAATTTTAACTGCTTTAGTGTATGTTAATTTCTGTTTTATTTATTGAGAGTGAACATGAACAAAAAAACAAAACAAAAAGAATACAAACTGAATAATAGTGTTACGGAAGAAGATTTAACATAAAAATTATTTGCTCGACGATCCTTCTCAATTAATAAAGTTCATGGATGCATCGATTACATGGAGTTGTAAATGACAGACCATTTACTTTTCGATCAAAATTTAAATTATTAATCTTTAAAATATCATATTTTCGCTCACATGCGAAGCAACAGCGAGCTAAGTGAAGCCATTACCTTGGCAACTTGCATATATCAATTTATAAATACCTGAAATCGCTGTTGATATAATAACATCAGAGGACCAAGTAAAACATGAGAAATATTTAATTCCGGCTTTTGACTACCCAAAAAGAAATATTTCCTTCCCAAACACTTTTCACAACCCTCGCCCTCAACAAATAATAATCATGACAACTTGAACAGGTATATTACCAGATCTGACTCGTGTTGGGCGGATAATACCCGACTCACAGTAGTATCAGACGGGATATGGATATTATTTTTGCACTACCTTGCTTTGTTCCTTTTTATCTCAATTTGCCTCAATATTTATATTAATTTCTCTATTTTTATTTATTTTAACACATATTTTCACTTAATGTTACTTTAAACAAGTGTAGTACTTCATCATTCAACTAATTAAACACGATTAATCTACCTATTATCTATTTTTTAGATGATCTACCTATTATCTGTATTTTCAACTAATTAGACTCCATTAATAAACCTATAATATCATATTTAAAATATAATTCTTGAAAAATAAACTAAATGAATAGGATATTAACAAGCATTCAAAACCTGCTGCTTTTGTGGTGGGGAAAAAATAGGCAACCAACAACAAATGATGAAACTATGAGGGTTGTTAATAGATTTCACTAATCAGTGAAAACGACGACTAGTGAGAGGATAAAGAAGAAGGATCTTCAATGAAGTTTTTATCATAAATCACTTCAGCATAGAGGGGCCTAGATGAGAAGGCTTAGTTTGTTCCACCGGGGGTTGGCGAAGTTGCAGGTGCAGGGCTAGAGTTCCAAGGATGAGGCTGGAAGTGGCGTTGAGTGATGACACCAAAGTTGCAACAACAAGGGAGTCGCATAAGATGGAGATAGTGGTAGCATATCACATGGAGCCTCCACGGAGTACGCTGGTTGTTGGACTCTGGATGCGGAAGACACTATTTTTGAAAGTAGAGAAGAGGGGAATAGATGATAAGCAATGAAGAATTAAGAATTATGATCTCATAAAAGGAAAGGTTGAAAGGATAACTCGACTAAAGAGAATTAAGTTGCATTTTTTCATTTGGCAACAAAACTAATCCAAACCTGACTCAATCTGATGTTAAAAACCACATATCAAAAGGGTCCGGATAGTATAACAACACTTTTTTTGTTGTTATAATAACAATAGGATACATTAAGGGTAAAAGGGTAAATTAACAATAACAATAATAAATAAAAATTAATCCTACGCATTTTCTCCTTCGCTCTGAACCACTGGCGCTGGATCTCGTTTTTTCTTCTCCCTTGCCGGCCCTGAAAAATCAAAACCTTCACCGGAGTTCCAACCTCGAGTACACCGTGCTGGAGGTGATGGGCTCCGACATCGACGGAGACCAGCTCACCCGTTTGGCAGAGGACTTCTGCTACTCCCGCCTCATCGTCAACTCCGACGATTTCTGCTTCATCGACACCGCAGGGATCGTCGATTCGTCCGCCGGGTTCGAGTTCTACCGCCTCAACGACATATTCAGCTGGTCCGATTACGGAGTCGATCGACAATCAGAAATGGGCGGGGACTCGGCCGCGCCTTCGCTCCCCTGGAACCGATGTAGCATGAGAACAAGGGAGGAGCTGGCGCCGGATCAGCAGGGCGACGGGGAGAGCTTGGAGGAGCTTGGGAAGTGAGGTAGAGATGATAACCAAAAAGAAAAGGAAAAGTAGTAGAAAAAAAGAGGAAGACGAAGAGGAAAGCGCAGCGAAGGTGAGGGAAAGAGGTGGAGAAGAGTGCATTTTTTGTTCTTGGCTTCTGTATGACTATTTAGCTAGTTGAAGGCATTGCTCTCATTTATTGCATTCCAGTTTCTGATCCTATACTCAACTTTTGGCTTCTGTATGACTGTCTAGGGTTTGCTCAGTCAAAACTAATACAAAATACGATTCTGTGAGAAGTTACATAATACCAACTCATACGTGTGGTAAATGTTAATCAAACTCTAATAATAACATCAAATTAGCTCCCTTCCCTTTCCAGAACAGTTCACCCAGCAGCAAGTGTAATTACACAGAACTGGGGTATAATACAGATAGAACTGGTACGGCAAAAAGTGAAAGCGCAAGGTCAGCTTGTTAAGTTTGAAAAACATGGCTTTGCTCCTTGTCTGCAATTTGTCAGATCCACAAACACGGTAAAGCAAATCAAACACGTCCTAATGCAGACCACAAATATATTAAAACAAACTAGAAATCTCGCAAACCAAACCACAAAAGTTTCGAAAGCACACCAGAAACTTCTTAATGCAAACCAGAAACCTCCGAATGCATACCACAAATCTCCTAAAACAAACCAGAAACCCACAAAGCAAACCACAACATTTGCGAAAGCACACCAGAAACCTCCTAATGCAAACCACAAACACAGTAAATCAAACCACAAAAAAGCAAACCAGAAACCCCCTAATGCATACCACAAATCTCCTAAAACAAATCAGAAACCTCATAATGCAAACCACAAAGTTTTGGAAAGCAAACCAGAAACTTCTCAATGCAAACCACAAACACGATAAAACAAACCAGAAACTTCTCAATGCAAACCACAAACGCGATAAAACAAACCACAAAAGGCTTACAAAAATGTGAGAAACCAAACCATAAATCTCACAATGCAGACCATAACATCCGGTGGTCGTTGGCCGTTGGCCGGTCAACGAAGATCGTTAACCGAACTCCGGTGACCGTCAGTCAGCATATTCCGACGCCGATAGGCATATTCCGCCCCGATGACTAGATTCCGACGCCGGTAAACATATTCCGACCGCGGTGATCATATTCCGGCGACAGTGGCATATTTCGATGACAAAATAGCATATTCCGGCGACAAAAAGCATATTCCGGTGACCGGCGACCAGATTCCGGCGCCCGGTGGCAGAATTCTGGCGACCAAAATTTTGGGCCGAGAAATAAAAAAATATTTTTTATTTTTTTTATTATTTAAACATATTTTTCATAATGTCAATTATACCCCTGCTTTGATTTTACACTAGATCAACTCATCTAATAAAAAAGTCATCACAATCCTAGCTTCCTATTGATTGGAGACTAGTGTTGTTACAATAACAACACAAGGAGTGTTGTTACCGTAACTGGTCCCTATAGTTATATATATTCCTTTACCAACCATTTACTAACGGCAAGGTCTACAGTGCCGTGACAGTGAGTTTCCGAACAATGGTGCTTTCCTTCGCCGTCGACTAAAGATCGACAACCGCCGGGCTATGTTGTCGTTCCACCATCGTTTGATAAAATTCTTTTGCCTCTTTGTCATGCTGAGATTGTTGCACCTTGAATCGGTACCGGCACATTCCTTGATCAGTGATCACCGATTGAAGCTTCTCACCAGTAGGGGTGTCAGTTCGGGTCGGGTTTCGGTTTGGAAAAAACTCGAAAACCCGAAACCAAAAATCACTAAAACCGAACCCGATAAGGACTAGCGGGTTTCGGTTACCCGAATCCCGAAAATTTCTTATCGGGTTCGGGTTCGGTTAAAGCAAAACCGAAAGCCGAAGGCCTAAAAATACGGACTGAGTTCTATTCATTGGAGGTTTTTAACCGGAACCCAAAAAACCAATAAGCAAAACCGAACCCGAAACCAAAAAACCCAAAACCCGAAACGAACCCAAACCCAAAAAAACCGAAAATGTATATAATCGGATCGGTTTCGGGTAAACCCAAAAAAACCGAACCCGAATGGACACCCCTAACCAACACAGAGAGCTGCACTGCACTAACTCCATCCCCACCATGTCTTAGCAATGCCACACCTCAAACGTTCGGAATTAACGAGAGCCATAAACCATAAACACAGGAGGTAAGAAAACCAGAAACAGCCCAATATTGGCTTTAGCCGGCAATTTGTCTCTTTAACTTTGAATCTGACATAAAAGAAAATGTATTCTTCGCCGGGAACAGACGAAAGAAAAAGAGAAAGAAAGAAAAAGACGGTTAAGACAGAATCAACTTGCACAATCCTAGTCTTAGCTACGAACCCCGCGGCCTAAACACGGCTTACTTCTGCATACCTTACAAATCGATCACACGTGACAACTTTTGGATGCGGTTCAGCAATAAGTCTCCTTGTTTAATAGTTGCCTGGTACAGAGCATTCTTTGCATCAGGTCGATTGGTTTCAAGGACACCAGCTACCTTATCGATCTTGCAATGAAGCTTCCCTGCCGCAATAAAGCGCGACAGTTCCCTGAAGAAACACATAAAAATGTTAAGAGACTTGCAAAAACACAGCCCCAAAAAATGCAGTGAATAACCAGAGTATCCAAGCAGTGGAGACCGGTATAGTTCAAAACTGAAAATAAATCTAGTTACTTACAAATCAATGAACTCCACAGTCACACCGAAAGCCTTTGCCATGGCCTCAATGGTCACACTCTTGTAGGATTCCAGGAACTGAGAATAGACCACTGTTCTAACCTCCCTCATGTAGTACCGGAAATGTGGGTGCAGATATCGGTCCAGTTTGATATGCTCAGTCAGCCCAGCTGAAAAGTAGCATTCCACATCAAGTGATCAATTAATGGCACTCGACAACAAGAGAACAAGTTTCATTGAGCGTAGAGGAAGCTTCTTGTTGGATAATTCTATGTATTGAATAGCCAACCATGAGCATGACAAGAATAGGAAAAATCTGAAAACGTACCAAATGCCGCGAAAAACGACTTGTATTGGCACTCATAGAGAGAGTTCAAAAACTCTGAAAGATATGGAATTTTTCCTATCACCGCCAAGATTTCAGGTGCATCCACCACCTATAAATTCAATATTGATTAATACTTGTTTCAGCAAGTCACAACTTTATAGAAATCAATTAAGGGAGTTACAAAACCAACTTAACCAGCATACCTTCTGTTTCAGGGACACTCTATCCAAGGTTATAATGCTAGTTAGAACAGTGTAGAATATGAAAGTGTCGTAGGGAAAAATTTCATATGTAGTGAAGGTTGAGATAGAATCCAAGAACAAGCTAGCTGCCTTCTTGAAGTTCCGAGTAGACATGCAAAACAGGCCTTCATACACCTTCAGACGATTTTTCCTCTCCCAGTCACCTCCCTCTTCAAACAAGCTGCCATAATAATAAGAGCATTAATAGTTGTACAATCAACTCAAGCGGTCCATCAACTATGGTAGCACAGAGACCAAGGGAAAAAGAAACCAACAGACCCATGTTGAAACTCACCTCTTTGCCTTGTCAATGCTCTTAGAAATGAGATCAAAGTCCATGTAGAAAAATCCAAGTTGCAACGTGTAGAACACCAAATCCATCTTTTGTCCAACTGCAACAGTCTTGGTTTCAGTAACTTTCAGTTGTTCCAGTGCCTTCTCCTGGAATCAGAAAGGGAAAGGGAAATACTACATTCTTAGAAAAGGCAGTGAGACAGACAAGGATAACCATTAAAGAAATAGGTTACAACTAGTCACCTTGTCCCCAATACGAATGTAGAACAAGGATCTAGCCAAATGAGCTTCTCTAACTTCACTTTCACCCAAGTTTTCTTCAGCATCTGCAATCCTAGAAGAGACAATTGGATAGAATAACATTACTCAGTATATAGTAAACAGAGATAACAAATGGGTTTGGAAGAAGCATCATTCAATTAGGATATTCCAAATCCTAGCATCATTAGTCTAATCGGACCATCTCAGTGGAAACTATAAAGCACTTGAGACAACGCCCCTAAGCAAAGGCCTGCACCGTTCTGCCACAAAGTAACTGACCATCAGAATACCACTTCCACAAAATTCTGGCCACAATTCAGTAATCTAAATATAGGGCTCTGATATATAAAAAAGAATTGAAGAAATTACTGTAACATATTCCATAGAGGAACTTTGCTTTTTGAGACAGCTATACCTTGTCCGCCCTTTCAGAAGAAACAAATAGATCTACTGAAACATGGATTTAAAAGTTAACAGATGCAATCCGTTACCATCAAATCTTCAAAAGATGCAACTGATGCACCGAAACTATTTCACCACAATGCATATTTGCGGTTGGATTTTTGTATTTAATTTTTTTTTTAATTTTTGCTACCAGACTGGAACAGTGTACATCTGAACAGGCTGAAGCTTACAAAACAAAAAAGGCAGTTACATTTTTATAGCTTTCAGTATATTGAAGACCACAATTCCCAGAAACTTTGCAGCCAACTAAATGAAAACCCAAATTTCAGCCACATTGTCACATGCACATTGAACCTGAAAGCTTAACATATCGACTGGTAGTAAGAGCATTGCAATGAAATCAACCTAAAATTCCGAAGCCAGTGCAACCACCTGCTGGGTGCTAACAGATTACTACCCCAACCACTCAAGAACTTCTGAACTGCTAATCAAACTCCCCTCCATAAAACTTATCTTTCCCCTCGTTATGTTGCTATTATTGCAAAAGGACTTGAATCCTAATTTTGTGACAGTAAGCATTCAAGCACAAATTCGAAACCCTAAAATACCAGTAGTCCCGATACCTCCCGGTCCCCAACGCAAACACGATAATTGCAAAAAAAAAACTGAAAAGAGGAATTGTAATTCGACTGAGAGCACTCACTTTTCATCGAGCTTCTTCAGCTCCTCATCTATCTTACCCCGCATCGAATCCAAGAGGTTCTGATCCTTCTCAAGCAACGACTGCCCCACTAGGGTTTCAAACAACGGAGCCATATCTTCACGAAAAGAGGAAATATAAGACCAACAAAAAAAAAAATACTGAAGTCAGGTCAAGCAGTCACAGTAATGCCGCTTAATTCCTCACAACTGCACAGAACTTATCGACGAATTTGTGTTAGCTAACCATTGATTTTGATGGCCTCCAAGATCTCTTCCTTGAGACGGACCTTCTCGATATCTTCCACATCAGGATGTGTGAATAGAAAGAGCTTGTTAGCGAGCACTAGATGTGCCTGTTGAGTTCCTTCGGGGGCGTCCATGGTGAATTGGCTCTCAGTTTTCCTCTGACCTCTGCTACAAGTTGCTTGAGCAAGGATGAGAAAGTGTCTTCTATTCTCTTCGGAAATATATCTTTCTAACTTGTCCAAAAAAAAAAAAGTCTTTCTTCTTTCTAACATGGATTGGGCCGAGTGTAAGCGGTCTGGCCCAGCCCATACCTGTTACTCCTACAAAAAATTTACATTCTATTGCAGTTGCGGTGCGGCACAACCGCACTGTGCAGTTGCGGTTTAAAATTGCAAACTGCAACCAATTTAAAAAATAGTTCAAACCCGATGCTTTCTATATAATTCACGTACAGAAAATTTTGATTAGTTGTGAACTGATTTGCAAGGTCAGTTGCTTTGGGCAACAAAGACAACGTTTTGTCGAACAAAGAAAATTTCATCACTTGGTGGTGGAGAAAATGTAGTATATATGCAGCTCATACTAGATTCTCTAAGTCATTTGCTTACTTTGGAGAATCGGGAAAAGCCGTAACACAATAGTTTTCGAAGATACTCTACTATTGCCCTACATCTTCGCTGTTCATTTCCCTCACCAAGTCAAAGATTTCTCATCTACCCATGCGACTGCTCCTCCACCTCTGATCCTCCCTACAGTACCTCCAACATGGTTTCCCCCTCCACCTTGCCGCCTCATACTCAACTTCGGCGATGTTGTGCTACGGGCTTGGTGGTGAAGTTCGCTGATGATGTCCACATCTCTCTATTGGTCTTCAACATCCCGGGATTGTCAATCCATACCTGGTCGAACTGCTAGCTGCTCGAGATGGTATGCAATTGATTCGTAATATATCAACATCAGTGAAGTCACACACAAAGGGGATTTTGAAGTCATCATACGCCAGCTGCTCAGGGATGGAGTCAAATGCAATTGAAAGTCCGGTGCTCAGCGACGGTCTTCAAATGTTAAGTACTCTAGGCATAGGCTGAAAGATTTGTGCAATCCCTAAAAATGCCAATTGGACTGCTCATAGTGCGACAAGAAAAACCATTTCTCTATCTAGTTTAGAATTAGGAGAAGGGGTTATATATATATATACATTAATAAAAAGTGAGCACTCAGTGATTGTCATAATCATCAGCCGCATTATCTTGTTTCTCACCTTTCTCCTTCATCTCATCCTTTCCCATACGCCCACACCAATGGTCAACAAAAGTATTTCTGAAGCCCAGGCCAGTGGCCACCGTGCCAGCAGTTGCAGCAGTAAAAGCAGTGCTGATGCTGATGGGTTCGACATGGAACGACAGACACACAGTCATGCACAAACAGTAGGCCGGAACGACACATGTTTCCTAGCTTGTTTGGCGGCTGGATTCAGTCTCTTTGCAAACATAACCAAATTTAAGCAATGATATACAAGAAAATGTTACGAGGCAGAAGTAGACTCGTCTTACATAATCGAGTACCGCAAATTGGAGGGTGGGACTTTGATGGTCCCCAATCCCAAGTTCAGATTAGAAGGAAGAAGACTAACCCCAACTTTGGGGTGGGAACTGGATGCATTGTTTTCTGTGGACTCCAGAACCCTGGAAGCTTGGAGAGCCATTTCGGCATGAAGTTGCAGACATGACATGGCCATCTGAAACAGAAACACAACTTTCAGAATGGCATTCGTAAGTGAACTCCCCTGAGGAGGTTGAGAGCACTTGAGGTTTACTTACCATATAACACTCTCTATCTGTATCTGACTCTGTGACTTCAAGGGCCCATGTCCGGATCCATTCAAGACCTTTTGCTACCTCCACATTTCCTTCGGTTAGACATGATGCAACGAATGATGGATGGAGTGATACTAATAGGCATGAAGCCGCAAAAAGCACGGCTCTTCTAACATATGCTTCTTTGTGACGGCATATCTCCCTGTGGCATTGAAGTATAGCACATTAGTGATCATTAATGAAGAGCCCTCTTAACAGGCTACAAGTCCCATTAGTCATTTCACACAGCTCATACATTTTAATTTCATTTATCCTAACAAAGTCTGCATATTGTGAGACTACCAAATGATTTCACAATCGTTCACTTCTTTTAATACAATTTTCAAAGTTTTGTTTCGACTATTACTTTTGTTGACAACTTATACAATAGACCTGCTCATCACTGATTGAACTAGATGGAGAATGAGGTTGACCGTAGAGTTCAGATTTACCTCATTCTTAGCATGTCTAGGAAAGGGGAGGCCAAAGCAGATGCCTCTGGGTGCAGAGAGGCACATCTCATGCAGACACCAAGCATGTGGAGAAGCTTCCCCAGGACAATAAAGTCTCTACCAAGCAAGTCTACGCCTTGCCTCTTCTTATCAAACCCCTGCATGGCAGGAAGCATGAATGCTGCAGCATAAACAGGAAATTTGTTCCCGGTCCATTCTTCCACCTGGGTATTTTGGATATTTGCAGATTGATTACCCCACCGTCGTGTCTTCCCCTTAATGACTTGACTAGGTCTAGATGGAACTTCTCTCTCATACCGGTGAGAGTAATTCAATGGAGTTCCTGTTTCTGACACCTCCTTCCAGAGAGTTGAACCAGGAGGCCCCTTGCTGCTTGGCAGGAACCAGGGTTGAGTCTCTGAGATGGTTGAAATTAGGGCTCTTGAAACAGTTTGCTGCTGTCTGGACTTCAGAGTCTTGGAAGAAGCAAGCTCCTGAGCTGCTTCCGTCATTACATCAAGAATCATTATGCGCTGGCTGGTATCCACATGTGGGGAATATAACAGTTTGTTTATCGAATCGAGCGACTCGAACGGGGATGTGACGAGCAAGGCAACCAATGCTCTTTGCCTCTTTTCCTCTATACTTTCTTCCTCTCCCTCAACTGCCAAATCAGAGCAACGAACCTGAACAAGAGTACGAACTAGTTCCCCTGCTATGTGTTTAAGTTCGTCAGGAGATGTTCTCACAAGTTTTTCAGCAGCATCAAGAGCTGCATCCACCTGATAAGAGACATAAAAGTAATAAATTTCTCAGGTTCACATCTAAAAGTAAAAATGCAGGTCTTACATGTAAGCCATGAAACTGTCCACCATCAGTTACTTTTTTATTACTAGAATAATATATTATATGATAACCCATCAATTCTACTTTGTCTAAAACCTTGCACATACTTTTTCTTCACTTCTACCTTAATTTAAATAAAACGTCGGTTTTGTTGTTAAAAACACTGAAATAAACACAGGCGTTGTTGTCTCTGAAATGTGTTGAATAACGCAGCTGATGGAACAACATCCAGAGACTTACCCCATCAGGATCATTGGACTTCCGCAGGGCTCCAACTATGTCAACCAACTGAGAAATTTTTTGTTTGAGATCTGTGTCATCATCTGCCAAATCATATGGCTGCAAAGAAGAATCACCGGAAGATTCTGAAGTGTCACTTGAAGCATCATCTTCATCCTTGTCTGAAGACGATTCACAATTCAGCATAGATGGATCGATGATCTCATCTGGATCTATCATCTTGAACTGAGATGCTCTCCTGCTATAACTTTTTGTGATTTTGTTGGGCTGATCATTTGTTTGGTGATGCGAGTCTTTAATCGACTCAGAGGATGTTAATGATTTAGTGTCATCAATGTGCTTCTCAATGAAAGTAGAGGTAGAGAGTGTTCCTTTTCCATGTATAGTAAAACCAAATTCCCAGTCAATAGCCTCATCACAGCTGTCATCAAGATATAGAGGATTTTTGGGGTCTATTACTTTAGAGAAAACCAAAGCAATATTGCTAGCCATTTTCCGAACTAAATGGCCTGGGTTCTCTAGCCTACCTGTCAGGCATAAAGAGCATATTACTAAAAAAGAACCACGAGAACGCTAAATACACAACAGATACAGAAGAAACAAGAACTTACAGCTAACTCCTTGAAGAATTGCATGCATCAAAACTTTTGAGCTGTCTAACTCCTCTTTTGACATCTTCTCCATGCAAAGACCAATAGCAGCAGTTACGTCTGTGCTGTAGATTAAGGATAGTAAAATATGCAGTACAAAGACATATCCAGAGAACAATGTTTTCCATAATCAAGCCTGGAACATTGTCCTGTTTCTTTGAATGCAATGAAAGCCGTTATAAAAAATAAGATGCCCATGAATAAGCCTCTTTGCAAAAGCTTTCTCTATGATTTTGCTTACAATGGATCACTAAGATATAGTCAAGGTCCAAATCAACTACACAGAAACTGAAATGTGAGGATACAGACTTGCTGCTCTGTTGGGGTCGATTGAATAAAGTCCTGGCTTGCCCATACTGATACAAGACGCTGCACTGTGTCTACCAGAATCTCAGTTGAATGACCTTTCGTGAGTTGATTAGCAATTGGTGGACACTGAAGAACAGCAAATTGTAGGATCCATCTTAAGCAACATAGGGGAAGCACTTTCCACAGTAAGAATTTGTCAACAAACATGTACCTGCAAAATACACAGGACAGAAGATTTTTGATTTCATAGCATAGAGAAGCTTAGGGAAGATAAAAACTTAAAGAGTCATCACAATTCACAAATGACCTAACAAAGTAAAATAACTTTCACCAGTTCTAATCCCATCGTACATCTTAAAAATGAACATAAACCAACCTTTACAAGCAACATGTAAACCATAACAGCACCAGTAATATAAGAACGATAACCATAATGCATACTGAAGAACATCAATTCTGACAAGTTCTTCCACAAAAAATTATTAACAGATTCATACTTGCTAACCTGATTGAAGGAGATTTCTCAAAATTCTTCCCGAAAAGTAAGTGAAGGGACCAATAAGTTTCAGTGTCACTTGCAAGCCTACTGGCCAACTGAAGCAAAATTTGCTCAGATATTCTTTCTACAGAGTGTGAGTCTTTGACAGCTTCCATAATATTCAACCAAAACTGGGATCCAGAATCTGACTCGAAGTTATCCACAGAAACAGAGTCATCACTTGATGTTAAGATGTTCTGAACATGCCTAAGAAGCTCAGGGACAAGTTCAGCCAGAAGGACATCTGCAAGCATAGAAAATAATTCCTTTGTGTTACTGGTTGCAACATTTCAACAAGGCACAACAGTTTACTGACCAGTAATTTCTGCAGAAAATGAGAATGCAAGCGCTTTCATTAGTTTTAAGTATCAGTTTTAACTGCATGTAGGGACTAATACAGAAGTTAGGAAAACTTCATAGGAACCAGCTAAAACACCCTCACATATGTTGGCAATTCAATGATTAAGTTGAATTCTAAATGAGTAGCAAATAAATGGGATCAATTATCTTGAGCAGAAATATATGGTTTAACACCATTAGAGCGTTTAGAATCAATTACCGGAAGATCCTCGTCGACAAATGCGAGAAAATATATCACCAATAAATAGAAGTGTAGTATCCACATCATGCTTATAGAAGATGGATTCTTCGTCTGATATAGTCTCAGTCCTATCTCGAGATACAGAAAGAAGCTGGGACGTGATCTGCTTGAAGAACAAACTATAAATCTAGTTATGGAAAAAAACAGCAAATGCAACTATATGCAAAAGGTTGATGACAGCAGATGCTAAAGCATTGCATTGCTTCTATCAAATTGGTATCAATCAACAAAGAGACTACAAACATTAATCTTTCAGCAGAGGAAAGTAATAACCAAATGCATCAACCTAGCTAAATAATATGAATGATCACTCAGAAACTGCAAGGATACTGAGATGAGAGTGAACTCGAGGCTCTCTGCGATGCCTTGTCGGGAATAGATGCCACAATTTGTGCCAATCTAGACATGACCGAAATAAGCTGTGCATGCGTCAAGTCTTCATATAACTCAGAACTTCCAAGCTCCTTGACCATTCGGAGCATGCCTCCATTTTCAAGTAAGGAGAGGACTAGCAACCTATGCAGCGTAATGGTAGTCAATACATACTTCTATAGATTCAGCAGTAGGACTACTGGAAGAGACGGGTAACGACTAGGATCAATTGTGCACCTTTCCGTGTTCGATTTTACTGCTTTAGCATCAAAGCCATCATTTAAACTGTATTGTAAGCACGGAACTAAACTCTGGATAACCTCTACTGCAAGGCCATGAACAAAGAACACATCGTATACATGTTGTCTTGCTGAAAAGGGGAAACAAGTTAACCAATTGGAAGCAACGTCTGCACGAGAAAAGGAAACTTCGTATTAGCAGAAAGAAAGAAAGACTGGTCAAGGGATAGAAACTGTTCTTCGGGATGGTATGTGGACATGTTACCGATTAGCAAGACCTGTGCCAGAGTTGGAAATCCAGCTCCTCTGTAGAATGCTCGCCGCCATTTCTTCCGCTCATTTGCAGCCGGGATTTTGGCACTCCTGACCTGTTAGATACAGCAAGACCAGAATTACGAGAGCGCAGCAATAGCTTACTTCGGAAGTTGGTGGCTCCAGCAACACGAACCTGGGCCCTGTGAAGCTCGTCGAGACTACCTGCAAAATCCAAAGGTCAGCTGATTACTTCTGGAATTTTACTTGGGATTTTAGAATCTGGAATTTCAGTTCTCCGTTTTTTTTCGTTCTAAGACTGACCGACGATGAGCGAGGAATCTGTGGGGAAGAGAACAACTGCGACGGAGTGAAGAGCGCAAATCACTTCGTCGACATGTTTGGCTGACTTTATCGTTGATATTACTCCTCCAACCTCGTCTAGAAGTCTCGTCTCTATCTCCTTCTCCCTCGTTCCGTCGCTCTCCATCGGTGGTTCTGTCGCCGGAGGGAAAGTTGCAGAAATTTTATTCTCCGCTCGAGCCACCCAAGTGGGAATTGCTGATTGTCACCCTATTTTTGGTAATTAGCAGAAAGAGTCACAAATTTTGGTGCTTAGTACAAAACCATCATAAATCTTTAATTTGTAATGATATGCTAACAAAATTTTGTAGTTATAACAAAACGGTCACAAATTAAATAGAGTGGTCATTTCATATAAGTTCAAACTTGTATTACCGTGTCACAAATTAAATTTTTGATGACCATTTTGTACAACGTTCAAAAGTTTGAATGATCAATCACTATTACAATTCACTGCAATCGAGATATGATGATTTTATTAATTTATGTGAATTATATGATCGTATCAAAGTAACCGATTAGCCGCCCATTCTCTGACCTCGTTGACTGTTCTTTTGATGGGTTTTGATTGTCCCAAATTGGATCCCAAATTAACGGGTTAGTGTGAGCTTATCCATGCGGTTATGCACTCTTCGAATAGGAATCCATTTTCTGAAAGATCCTGGCTTTCGTGCTTTGGTGGGTCTCCGAGATCCTTTCGATGACCTATGTTGTGTTGAAGGGATATCTATATGATCCAATCGATTGCGTAAAGCACGCGGTAAGAACGGAACCGTTCGGACTTTGTCTTTCCTCCCTTGGCTATTCAATTTGATTGTTTTCTACTCCAATGAATATGAGAGAGAGAGGGAGACCACGAGAACTTTAGGAAAATCCACACCATTCCCCGTCCTTGTTGGCTAGAATGTTTTCTAGGATTTAGATGAAGAAACTAAGAAAGCAAAGAAGAAATATCAAAATCAAAAGTTAATTTTTTCATTGAAACCTCATGTCCTTAAACCAACAAGGAATTTGATACAAATCATGGTAAAGACTACTATACTCCACACGATCTAGCCGTTAGATGTACTTTGTTGAACTTCGACCAATCCCAACGGTCAATTTGAATTTTCCATAATATTGAACTTTGGGTTTGAGTTTAGAGAACCGGGGCCTAAGGTTTATCCATTAGAGGTTAGAGTATAGTATCATACCCCAAACTCGGTTAAAATCATGCTCGAGATAGAGATATCTCACTAAGGGTACCTGGAGTATAGTATACTCCAGAAGTACATGAGTCTGACCCTACAAATCATATACAATAAATATCTTTATTTTTTAGATGATGGATTTGGGCCCAAATCACTCACAAATCTCTCAGAACGAAATCTTTTCATCCAAACGATCCCAAGATAAGAGGGGAATAAAATTCGATGCCAAATAAATCGTTATGTGGGATTACATAACTTAATTTTATGGATTAATACCACTATAAATTACGGACTTTAGTGGAATAGCGTTTATATCCATACTTAATCTCCGACTTTAATGACTGAATTGCAGCAGCAAGATCGCTGAAGAGTTTGTTGCCCGAGATGTTCCAAAAGAGAGCAATCTCCAAGACAAGGAAGCTCGTTGCCTAATAAATTGTTCGTCACTGTTGTTTTCCCAAAAAACTATTGCTGTAGTGAAGGATTAGAAAAAAAAACTTTCGCGCAAACCAAACTCTAGCGATAGACAACGCAATCTAAACGTTATGAAACTGCCATAGTAAAGGAAGAGAGAGAGAGAGAGAGATGATAAGGATCTGAAGAGGTTGTTCGAATTCGGAGAGGAGATCATAAAAGCAGTGAGGCAATAGGTTGACGAGAGCGGAATGCGTGTTGATGAAATGCTTAAGAGGTAGCATTCTCATTAATTTTGGGGTCATCTTCACAAGGAGGGTGGCGCGGGGAGCGAGAGGCGAGATCGACGCCTTCGATGATGATGATGATGGTGTTGTTAGGTGCGAGTTAGTGATGACAATGGGGGAGGGTAGGGGGGTGCAGCTTGTGAAGAAGGAAGCTTATCCCCGCCTTCACCGACAACTGCTAGGTTGAAAATTAGTGATAATAGAATGGGCAATTGAGTGAAAATTGGTGATAATAGAACGTGTTATTGAGTCTAACTAGTTGAAGAAAAGTCAGAATATAAATAAACATCGTTAAATTAAGATAGAATATGCCAAGAACGGAGAGGTGGGTTCAAATTGCCATCACTAGTGCGAGTTTCCGAGAACGATGGCTTCAGAACTCTCCACCAAGGACTTGTTCAATCGGTCAAACCGGTCTGTTATATCAATTTCGGCCGGATATGAACAGTTGTCACCGAATCCGGGCTGATGCCCTAAATGGAATTCTCGCTATTTTTTTGGCTAAATTACATACTTGGTCACTCAAATTATACAAATCTTTCACGTTTGCCACCCAAATTACTTTTCTTTCTTATTCTCCACTAACTTTATGAATCGTTTCACCATTAACATCGACCGTTACACTCCGTTAAGTTTTTCCTACGTGGCAGTCAACTATAAAGTTTGACTGTTAACTAAATGACGTGGAAATTAAAAAATTAAAAAACTAAATATATTTTTCCACCTCATCATTGCATTTACTTTATCTATATGATTTATGATATTAATTATTTAATAAAAAATAATTAAATTAAAAAAATGAACGACCTCCTCTTTTCTCGTCGCTGGTGCACTCGTACCCACCAGATCGGTGCTCTTCTCCTCCTCCTCCTCGTCACCATCTTCCTCACTCGCCTCTTTCACCAGTCTTTCTCTCCCTGCACCGCTACTTCCTTCGGCGACAGCGACTTCAAGTGCGGCTCCGGGAAGAGCCTCATTCGTATCTCCGACGCTTGATACCTGTAATGGCCTAACCGTGGCTACGGTTCAGTCCTCTCAAAGAGACTGAGATTAATGGCTTGAAAGAGCTGATGCGCAGTCGTGATGGAAAAATATCTGTCGAAGCTTGCGTTAAAGGCCAATGGGGCACTCAGGTTTGTGGTAATTCTGATCTTGAATTCTTCCATGTTCGAATTCATCATTCTTGTTATCTATTTGATTAGAGCTTCGGTGAATCAGAGATTGAATTGATTTTTGTGGATTGGATTGATTTTCTAGGTTGAGATATATAAATTGTTGTTGAAATCGAGGTTTCGGACTAAGAGGAAAAAGGAAGGCAATCGAACTCCTCCCCCACTCCTTCGATTCGTCTGTCGTGGCTTTCGTCAACGTCATCGAAATCCTTCCCCTCTCATCGAGCTTCTTCATCGACAATCAGAGCACGACGATCCCTCCCGGCGGCGCTGCTGCTAGGTTCTTCGGAATCCCATCCAGCAAACTCCTTCCCCACTCCTCCTATTCATCTGTCGTGACTTGCGTTAGCTCCATCGAAATCTTTACCCTCTCATCCAGCTTCTTCGTCGACAATCGGAGCGCGACGGTCCCTCCAGGCGGCGCTGCTGCTGGGTTCTTCAGGTTCCCATCCAACACTTTTCTCCACAATTGGGTTCTTCTGTGGAACCTCTTCACGGGCAGTTCTTCTAGAGATGTAGAGTTGTTAAGGATGGCGTTTATACCTTTGGCGCCGAAGTTGCAAGATCCACAGGATAGCTTCTTCAACGACCTGCAGTTCTTGGCGAAGCTTCCATCCCGGCATCGGTGATTTCCAGGCATGATCGGAGCTACCAGGCCGACGAGCTCGACTACTTCTACGCACAGCTCGATGGGCTAAACGTGCGCACCAATATGAACTACGGCATCGACGGAGCCAGGTTGCGGTTCGTGAGCAAGGTGCTGAGGTCGGCGAACTATGAGATTTGGTATATGATTTTTGAGGGTGGACTTTTTCTTCTGTTTAAGTTATGTATCACGAACTAATTTAAAAGGCTTCTAAAAAAAAGTAATTTAAAAGGCTATGGGGATGCCGGATAATTTCCGATCCTATTGCACTAGTTGATTATATAAATTTCTTCCTCTCACTGATAATTAATTTTGTAATTTATAAAAAACTTCAGTAATTTTTATTAATATAATCAATCATAGACAGAGTAAGTGGAATGGTGAGGTGGAAAATAATTGTATTTTTTTATTATTTTTAATTTCCACATCATCAAGTTAATGGTCAAATTTTATAGTTGACTGTCACGTAGGACAAATTTAACGGAGCATAGCGGCCGGTGCTAATGGTGAAACGATTCGTAAAGTTAGTGACGAATAAAAAAGAAAATTAATTCAGGTAACAAACGTGAAAGATTTGTACATTTTAAGTGACCAAACGTATAATTTAGCCCTGTTTTTTCCATCGAATCCAAGCCAATTCGGATCAACCCGCGTACTAGCAACCTTGCTATAAAATGTATTTTTGCCTATTTTGTATTTTCGGATTAATTGGGCTCTGGAAATCGTTGTTTTTTTTTTTGGTTAATAACATTTTGTACCCCTCTACTAAATTTTTGCACAAACATACCCTTCTAATATTAAAACGTAACAAGTATACCCTCCATCCAATTTTCTGTTAATTAACCGTTTAGTGGGTTCAAAATTGACAGAAATACCCTCATTTTAATTTTTTATAATTTTTTTTATTACAAGTCAGAGCCCAATTAAAAATTAAAACAAACCCTAAAACCTATCACCATTATGTTCGACAGAACCCTTCGGTATTCCTCAGTCATCCGCCACTGTCGACGTAGAGAGTCTCACGCCAATCAACCAGGCAGCACCCAGCTTGTCCTCGGCAGCAGTTGGAGCAGGCTTCAGCGGGCGGCGAATACACGACGCTGGAAAGCGACGAAAAGCAATGGGTGATCGTTTGGTAGGGGTGAGACTCGACGAGTCCGCTGCCAGAGACTTCTGCTACCCCTCTGCGACGGTGGAGCTAATGAGAACATTATTTTTGTGTTGGAAAATCCATTTTGTAAATTGGTTGCTTGTGCTCACCACTTACTATTGATGTATGAAATTGAATTTGCTTACTGATTCTGTAACTCTGTAATCTTTTTCCGTATTCACTGTTTGCTTGATTTACTGTTTTGAAAACCTCAATATATTTCTTGGTGGCTTTTCGCAAGGGTGATCTTTTCCTTGTGGTTGCTTCCATTTTACCGTTTATTAAACCCCAGCTCTAGAGTCCAACCTACTAGTGTTGTATACATATATATATATATGCTTATTCGATGGAGGGAGAAGAAGCTGCGGGAGTCGACTCCTGGAGAAAGCTGGATGCTTTTAGCTCCAGCCATCCAACCGCCGGCGAGGAAAAGCACGGTGCAGCCGCTGCCGAGGGAAATTAAGCAGGCGCGCCGGAGTGTGGGCAGTCTTCGACGGTCGCGGGTTGTTGAGGAACACGAAAGGTTCCTAGGTGGAAGAGAATGATATGGATTTTAGGGTAGATTTCAATTTTACTTAGGCTTTGACGTGTGATAAAAATGATAAAAAATAAAAATAAATAAGCGTATTTGGGTAATTTTTCAGTCTACTTAACGGTACATTAACAGAAAATTAGACGGAGGGGTATGTTTGTTACATTTTAATACTAGAAGGGTATGTTTGTGCAAAAATTTAGTAGAGGGGTAGGTTTGTTAATTTGTAATAGTAGAGGGGTACAAAATGCTATTAACCCTTTCGTTTAAAGGAAACCTAACTTAATATTAAGACCAAGTGATTGTTGTTGATAGCTGAATTAAGCCTAAAAACCGGTTTATAAGTTAGCTTTTAAGGCTTTTACTGTGACCGGGGAATTTAAAATGTGCAACTCAAGCGCAGGGCTGGTTGTCACAATGCTCTTAAATCCCTTATGTGAATCGAGTTATGCCCTTTAGTTATGTGCATGTTAAGACCGACTGATCAAGTCGTGTCCTTAGCGCCAATGGTCGAGACGCTGGGCCGTGCGGTACTTCGGGGGGTCTAGCCAAGAGGAAACCATTGGACATCCCCTGCATTTTTCCTTTGTAGGTACTAGATGAGTTCTGGCGAGGACGTGTTGATTTAGGGGCCAGAGATGGACGATCGCTGTTGAATTTTTTGTAACTTGTGAGATCGATACTGATCATGATGGAGGATTCAGTTACATTGTAACACAACGTGTGCCAGTGGTAGAGACCAGCTCCAATATCAATTTTTCTTTGCTTGGCAGCTCGTGGTTGACTGCTTCTTGGATGCAAATAATCTATCCTTCTTAGTACCAATTTGTAGTTTGGATAATGATTTTCAATGAAGGATTTCATCACAATCCCTCATTATCCAGGATTTTTACTAAATAACTCATTTGGACTATGCAGGATATCATGACCGGGATCTCATATCCTCAAGTCATGATCTTTGTGGAGAAGACAAAATGTGTCACGACCCAAATCACGGTTCTTCAATCAGGAGACCACGATAAATCCCATTCAATCAAATAGCTCTCTCTAAGGGTGATACAAAAAAGAAACCTTCATCGAGTAGTCTCTTTGGGAACATTGGTCGCTAGAGGTAATATGAATTTAACTAAAGCAATCCCACAATGTCTGTGCGTTAGCCATTAAACTCGTAAGTCAGACATATCTATGACTTCCAGATCGCGATCGAGATGTAAGAGGTGAGGGGAGGCCAGATCAAGCAAGAGGAGGAGAGAAGAGGAGGAACCGCCATCAGTCCCCTGTTGCCCACCGTCGCCACTTTGTACATCTCACAGATCGACGAACTTCTTCAGCTCCGGACCACCACCACCACCTCTCTTCTCCTTCTTCTCCGATGGGTCGTTGAGAAATGCATTTTCTTGTTCGCTGGGCTAAGGGGAAAGAGCTTGTGGGTGCAGCTACAGAGGATTGGCAGTGGCGAGAAGAAGAAGAAGAAGAAGAGGAAGGGAAGTCTTAGCGGCGGACAAAACATAAATTGTAGGGTTTTCAGTTAATTAAAAGAAAAGGATAATTTTCACTGGGCCTTTTCTTTTATTATTTATTGTTTAGTTAATTAAAAAAACATGCTACGTCAATCACTACCGTTAGTCCAGTCAGCATTCGCAGATAGTCCGTTAAACTTTTTGACGGAATGACTATTTTAGTGTATTTTTCAAAAAGTGACTATATTTGTCAAAACCTTGAAAGTTATGGCTATGCGGGTGCATTAAACCATAATTTTTTATGGTTATCCAATATATCATGGTTTATTTATGAAGTCAAACTAAGAATGAACATTTTTCATTGAGGGCATGCTAGTTCGCATGTGATAGAATTTATTCACATCAAACTAACAAATTATAATGAGTTCCCCCCTTTACAATTGGTCTTAGTCACGAACCTAACATTTCTCATCTGAAAATATTTGGGTGGATCGTATACATCCGAATTGATCCACCACAACATTTTATGAAGATTTTTGAAGTCTGACAATTGAAGATTTATTTTTACATTTGAAATATGTGATAGACTATTTGTTATATATATGAAACTCCCTTAATGATTAATTTTCCAGAAGCAAAAGAATAAAGTTCTCGAGAACATATATCGATCGACTTATACAATACCTTATATGGAATAAGACAATATAGACGAATGCGGAATACTCCTTTAAGTGTACTCTTAATAAAACAAGGTTGACATGGTATGAAAATATCATATCCAAAGAAAATTATCATAACGATCATGTAAAACGAAATTTATTGTAACGATCATACATAAAATTTAGAATTTGGAATTTTTGTTCGAGAGGCACTATCAACGACAATCTTTGTAATTATTTTTTTTTGTGAAACTGGGGTTCAACGCTCAAATACATGGAATGATATTGTTATGAGAGGAAGCATATACACATTGCACTCTTTTCTTTTAACCATGTTTTTTTTCCACTAGGTTTTTCTCGTAAGATTTTTATCTCATTGGGTTTTTTCGAATAAGGTTCTAACGAGACAAGCTTTTGTATATAATAATCATCGAAGGGGAGTATTATGAAAATATTCATAATATGGATGACCACACTAGATGCACACACTAGTCCACAAATGAATGTTACTTGTAATCCATCTCATCACATTTGAATTTAAGGTTAATTGCTCATAAATTATCATTATTTACATTAATGATATAGTTGTATGTTGTATAAGTTTGTGCCTATAAATAGAGCACACAACGTACTAGCAAGACATACGAATAAGAAAGTTCTCTTCTCTTTTTCATTCTCGTAGTTGTTCATATTCTCACATTTACTTAACAAATATAAATTCACAATCTCACTACATTGAAAGAGATAATTGTCAAGTTCAAGTATTCAGAGGCCAATGAAATAGAGAGATTTCAGCACCGCAGTCATGTGTTCATATATTTATGAAATTTTGCAACACAATAAAACAAATTCAAAACACATAATGTAGCAAATATATGAGACTTTGGTGTGTTGTACACAAAATAACTTATCGGATAAACCAAAACATAATTGAATTGTGGATGATCTGTTGTAATTAATTGGGAGTAGTATTTTATAAAACCTCCAAACTTATCTACTACTCTTAGAAGTAATCCATATGAGTTCATAGTTTTAGATAAAAATTTATGTCATACAAGCAAAAAATCAAACTAACTAATTAAGAATTTTATATTTATGTCACATCATCCAACAACAAACTACGGGGTGTTACTTAGATCGTGCATCAAAGTTTATGCAAATACTTATTTGCTTTCATTATTTGTTACAATCGAATTCTCGAATTATTTCATTGAATTGCCAACTTAATAGTTACTATCAGAGCATATCTAAGAAAATAATTTTGGAATCACTAAACAACATAGTTGAACTAATTATATGATACAAGCAAACAACTACAAATTCAAGCTGAACAACCAACGTTAATTGATGTTTCTCACCGTCTCAATCAAATGAAAGATGTTATCACTTGATAAGATTATATGAAATATGTGAAAATATTTTGGATAAATTTTTCCACACTACGTATATCAAAAACAAATTATTAATTAAAGTCTCTCAACAATGGAGAGAATTTGCAACCCTAGACTTTTTATAGCAAATACATGTCTTGTCTTAGAACAGTGTATCACAGTGTTTCTACAAATACGCAGTAAAGAAAATAGAGTATCTTTGTACTTATTTTGATATGTGAAAACTTGATCCAGCTGATGATTCTTTCTCGCTTCCATGGTCCAATTATTTGGGATTGAATTCTTCAGAATTTTATGGAAACATTGGATGAGTTAGGTATTTGTACGTATTTGTCTATAGGCAATTGCCAAGTAATTCAATCTCATGTTCGTAGTTAAGAAGAAAATTGAATTTGCCAAGTTTTGGCACCCAGAGTTTTTAAAAAAATAAAAAAAATCAAAATACAAAAGGTTAACATTCAAGAAACTTATAACTAATATAATATAACATAAAGAACTAACAAAACAAGAAAACTAACTTCAAATTCTTACTAAGAGCCTCAAACA